CATTATTTATTATAAATTACACTCCACTACTTATCCATGTTCACTTGTCACAAGCAAGTGGATATCGCGTACAGTTGATTCAGGATTTTGAAAAACAGGAAAATAAAGGTAGGGTGTATAATATGTAATGAAATTCATTTCATTTATTTATTTGACCAAAAACAGAATACATAACCAAACAACAATGGTCAGGGGCAAATAAGATAGGATGAAGAAGATATTTCTGTGTTCTCTTGCCAATCGACTATAGTGCATGGCGGTGCAGTCAAACTTTACACTATTTATAGTATAATTTTCCATTTTTAGGTATTCGTGAGTAAGGACTATGCGATGAGTCATGGTTACACAACTTCTGAAAGTGCATTACATGGTCTCCATGGTAACTTGAGAAGTGGGTAAGAAATATTTTCATGTATTTTTCAAAGCTTTAAATGACAATGTAACCATCACAAAACAGATATTTTATTTTTCTTGTAGGGCCATCTTGATCTGTGCATGGGGCGATAAAGGTGCTTGTGGGAGAGACGCAGACGGCGCTATTTTCCATGCACCAGCTTTTCCTCCAGAGAGGGTAGTTGATACGTTGGGTGCTGGGGATACCTTCAACGCTGGAGTTATTTGGGCACTGAACAGAGGCAAACAACTTTCCGATGCTTTGAATATTGGCTGTGAAATTGCAGGAAAGAAGTGTGGAATGTATGGTTTTTATGGTGTAGCTGATAAAGTCAATTTAAAATAAATAACCATAATTATAATCAACCCTCCAGTAAGAGTTAACTCATACTACTGTGGGCCTTCCAAACAAACTTCAGTATATAGTTAACCCCATTTGCCACTCTGGATTGGATTTTTAAAAACCAATAGCCCTCAATGTGATCGGCAATTGTATTTCTAATTAGCTGCATCTTGCAATTTCTCCCGAAGGCTGTGTACTGCCCCCTTCTCTTTTCCGTGTACACAAATTATTTTAAATGGCAAATGTTGACCACAATGTTGAATAATTATTTACGCTGACGACAAGCATTACTGACTTGAAAGTGATACGGAAACATCTAGGAAAATTGTGTTCGAAAGTGATAGTGTGATAGAAATGTAGGCCTAATACTGTACTGAGTAACAATAGCCCTGGAACCGTAATATATTATAAGCTAAATTGGAAATCTATGCAGAAAACATTTTTAAGAAGGCAAAACAATATTATTCTTCCATAGAAATCTGAAATCATAATTTTCATGACTATTATTTTAAGCATGTTGTGTAATGATTTTACTGTTTGGTTTGCCAAAGTATCGGACTGCAATGAAAATGTTATTGTTGAGTAATTCAACATGTACGCAAGATTATTAAATGTAATATTTTAAGTTGAACAGGCATTTGGCCGCTTGTTAA